GAGATTTCAGCAAATTCATGAAACTGTTATGCATTTTTCTGATTGAAGCATAACAAATTAAGCTAAAAATTCGTAAACATACTCCCTATCATTTGGCTCCTCGGCTGTTGGTCTGCTAGTTTACACAACTTTCACTTATAGGTGAATCTGAGCAAATAAAAGTATATAGATCTAAGTGGGTGGTTGGCGGGTACTCTATTGTTTGCCCCTTCTTTCCCCCAAGCTACACTAGCATTTATCCTGTTAGGGGGGGAGGGTGGGCCCCAAGCTACACTAGCATATATCCTGTTAGTTTGGTTGTAGACTTGAGGTTCTCTCGGGCTTCTGTTAAAATAATAGAGAAGGTGCACATTTATGAATTTGTATTAGGGATGTGCAAGTCCAGTATTTCGGACTCAGCGTGAATATATATTTGAATGTTTGTTTGAGCTTTTGACCTCATGAGTGTATACATTGCATGTTTGATTATGTTTTCTTTTGGTACGTTTGTGTTTGTGGGACACCATTTTCATTATTGCATTCATAAATATGCAAGGAAACGTCCCACAATTTTGCATTTTATCACAGTCCATTCAGTATGTGCTTCCTATGATATTATTATGATGTGCAGAAGAATTTTACTTTGTGGATAAGTCAATTTTTGTGGCTTTGCTTTATTTCTTTCTTTAATTTCTGCTTTGAAACTAAAAACTGCCTTTCATCTTCAGCTACGTTTGCTACATAATGGCAGAAGCAAGCTCGGAGGAGAAAAAATGTAAGTATAAAAGCATATTAAGTGAAACGTATTGAATTAATTAGCATGTATTTCGTTGATCTATTTTAACTCCTTAGTGTAAGACTCAGCCATACGCCATTTGGAAAAGTGACATGTGATAGAGTCTGTCGGTGAGCAGTTGATTTGTTTTAACAATGTAAGCATATCGTACGTATTTTCCCTCATTAATTGGCAAAGTTATGTTTAATAATGATATTATGTACAATGCTGGTGGTCTCTGCTGTGTGTATTATGTCGTCCTTCTTGAATGAAGTCTCAAGTTTTTTTAATACTGTGATTCTGCTGTTCATTGCAGATAGGGTAGGTTTATTTGCTATTAATGTTCTTAAATTAAAGCAACATTTGTTCAATTAAAACTTTATTAAGAGCTGCATAGCTTATTTAATTTAGATAATATGTACCAACTCAAAAATTCAAGCATTTTACCCACTTTCCTTTTTGAAGGTTAACTTTTTAAAATGACATTTTTTTGTTGCTTTATTGAGCTGAACTCTTTTTCTCTGTTTTGGCATAGAGAAGAGGGAAACAAACCAGAAATGATACCCCCCCCC